CCGGCGCCGCACTGAGCCCCGCTCCCCGCAGGCATCGGGCGCTGCGCGGTGCAGGCGCTGCACGCAGCGGGGGCGCAGGTGGTGGCGGTGAGCCGGACCCGTGCAGACCTGGACAGCCTGGTCCGCGAGGTAGGCCCCGCCCTGCGGCCCGGGGCGGGCGCGAGCGCAGCGCCGCCTCACTTGCGCTGGCCCTGGGCCTGGCCGGACCCCGTATCCCCTCCCCCAGGGTGCAACTTCCGCGGGAGGCCGAGTGGCCGAGAGCCGCGCGACGCCCTCTGGCCTTGGAAGGAGGCAGAGGGGGCGGCCTCGCCGCCCTGGGGCAGCAGGCACAGGAGGAAGTGGACGCGGGGAGGCGGGGCCAGACTTCCCAGGCCGGTCTGCCCGCGCGCGCGCGCGGGCGGGGCGGCCCCTCGCCCTGCAATCAGCGCTGGCCTCTGGCTCCCACCTGGCCTCGGCCCTCCTCGCCTCGGTCCTCCGGGCCCTGCTCCCCACCCATGGTCAGAGCTTCTGCCAGCTGCCCCAAACCCACAGTGCCCCGGGGTGGAGCCCGTGTGCGTGGACCTGGGCGACTGGGAGGCCACGGAGCGGGCGCTGGGCGGCGTGGGCCCCGTGGACTTGCTGGTGAACAACGCGGCCGTGGCCCTGCTGCAGCCCTTCCTGGAGGTCACCAAGGAGGCCTGTGACACGTGAGTGGGGTGGGGGAGGGGCTTCGGGCTGGCAGCAGCACCCCAGGCCCTGCCCAGCACCCGTCCGTCCATCCCAGGTCCTTCGAGGTGAACCTGCGAGCTGTCATCCAGGTGTCCCAGGTGAGCTGGGGTACGGGGAGCCCACTCGGGTCACAAGCCCCGCCTCACGTTCCCTCTGCCACTGCAGATCGTGGCCAGGGGCCTGATTGCCCGCGGCGCAGCGGGCGCCATCGTGAACGTCTCCAGCCAGGCCTCGCAGCGCGCGCTGACCAACCACAGCGTGTACTGTGAGCGCCCGCCACGGCCCGCCCCTGCCCG